CAGGAATTTTCTATTCCAATTAACTTGCCGTATAGTTCCAATAAGAATTCAGAAAAGAAACTAAGTAAAAGTACAAAGTAGATTTCCTAAAAGAAAATATTTCAGATCATATTTTAGAAGGATGATAGAGCGAACAAAATGAGCCAAAAACGTAAAAAATGCGTGTGCAGAAAATGCACTCTAAGACAACAATTGTAAAAAATTGGATAAAACAGATTAAAAAATATATTTAATTAATTATTTAAATTAATTCAAAGTCTTTGCTGCTCTCGCCGTCATATTTGACTGCTATTTGATATAAATAAATATTTTTAGTGTTGAATTAAGCAAATGAGATCTAGAAATGAAATAATTTAAATACTTTTCTGTTTTTCTGCTGATTGAATTGAACACTTTTCTAGCATTTCTAAGATCATCGGCAGCGATTTCTGTACCGTAAAATTCAAACAAAATGACAGATCAAAATCACTTGGTGTTATGACTGCAGGTATTCAAATAAAAAAAGTTATTGCCCCGATTAATCCTTTGTTGATTCTCCAAAGAATATGTTTTGCAAAAATATCTGAAAAAGAACTTGAAAACTTTCATTCTTACCAACTTTGCAATGGCAAAGGTATTCGCAAGTGCGTTAAATCTATAAGGAATTTCATTCCGAAGATATAAATTTTGGAGACACAATGTATATCAGCGACCGTGGATACCTATTAAACCAAGTCGCGTTTGACATCGTAGTGAATCGTTTTCATCAATTTGCAAAAAATACGTTCGTTCGATCGAATTATACATCCAATGCTATTGTCATATTTGATGCATATCCGGAACAAGGAAGATGTCAATCGTAGTACCGAATATGCAGGGCGAATCTGACGATCAAGAAAAACTGCTTTAGTAGATATAATTTTTGATGAGACAATGATTCCAACTGTGCCACAAAATAAGTTCCTGGCGCGCGATATAAACAAGAAGTGCCGAAGAGAAAAAATGAAGCTGAAAACTTTATGGTCAAACAAGCCACGAAAGATGCGGATGCATTAATAGTTAATACATCAATAAACTTAGCGACGACAATTGATTCCATATATATAGTAAAACCAGAAAAAGGAAAAAAGTTGCATCAAATCTATTCAAAAAACAGTATCATAGTTAACACAGTCACAGATTACTTATTCTTTTTGCACGCCGTCAGCGGCTGTGATACGACATCCGCACTTTTCAGTCAAGGCAAAATAAAATATAACAACGTATTACAGAGAAATCTCGACTTACACAAAATTATCGAAATATTCAACAATGCAAATGCTGATACAGAAGCTCATTGCTACAGCTGGAAATCATTCTCTTTTCAAATTATACAGCTATAGTGGAGTAACAACTACAAAAAACTGTTTAAACATCTATAGATATATAAGCTTCCGAAAATCAGTATTCAAAATCAAATTTAACATTGCATATTCACCACCGACAGAGGCAACACGACAAAATTCATTTCAAACCTATCACCGACTTCAGCATTGGTATGATAATAAATTAAACGCTAAACAACGGGAATGGAAAAAAGTAATAATGGTCTGATTCGTTTCACAACACTCGAGTCGCCAGCTTCCGAAGCGTTGCTAAAACTTATATTTTGCAAATGCGAAAAGGGATGCCAGAAAGCCTGTCGATGCAGGAATGCTGGATCGTCGCAAATTTCAACACAAATTAGCGAAGAAGAGGAAGAAACAGACACTCTTTTCGAGCAAACGTATAACAATATACTTAACCAAGATGATTGAAATGATATGATGAATCTACGATAAAAAACGATTATTTATGTATATATTTATTATTTTATTATCCATTTATTTATCTATTTATTTACTTAGTTATTTATTTATTTATTTATTCATTCAAATAATTTTACAAGCCGTCCGCACAATGATGACAACAGTGACATCATGTCAATGTTATTATGTTACAATTATGATATAATTTATTTATTACATATTCACTTATTGTTTATTATTTTTAAGTAGTTTTGCAATAAAAGTTTTCATTATAACAAAATTATAAAAATTTACAATATAAGTCAAATATGGAGAGCTCCGTTATGACGGCGGGAGCAGCAAAGACTTTGAGGTGCCCGTACTCTCAACGGTTTTCGAATGAATTGTAGGAAATTTTATCTAGTTTAATTCCTACATAGCTACTTTTATCGTAGAATGAGCCACAAAGGAGATATTAACTAGTTGGTTTGGTATTTAGCCTTGAGGCAAGTTACATGAACTTCCCGATATGTTTGAATAATCGACTTAATCAATAAAAAATAAATTAAATTATGAGTCATTAAAAGTATTCCGAGTGGATTTTTACACATAATTGAAACGAACGAACACTTTGACTCGGAGTATTTTCTAAAAGCAAATTTTATATAATTGAACCAGTTTTCAGGACTTTAATGGTTTATTATGTTCAAGATCAAGTACTCTATCATTATACCAAGTAAATAGTCTAATTTTAATTTTAACAAATCTCAAAAGAACTACTCATTTTCTCAATCTTTGATGAATTTTTAAAATCAAACTATTTGTCGTAAGGCCGTAATATTTCAGTAAGTTCTATAAGACCATGGTATATATCACTAAAAAAAAATCCATAAAAATCGGCTTAATTTTTTTTTCAACAGTTAATTACAAGAAAACGGCTCGGTAGATTTTCACCTAAAACTAATCAGTATCATTCCCAACTAATATCTTTCGAACAGTTTTTGATTTTTTAAAATCGGTTCGGTAGGATGAGCTTGAATGTGGACGAAAAGTTTAACACTTTTTTCAAATTATAAAGAAACGGCTTGGCAGATCGTCGCACAAAACTGACAAACGATAGTCCTCAATGAAATACAACAAATGGCTTTTACATTTCTGAAATCGGTTAAGGCGTTTTTGAGAAAACGTCTATCAAAGATTTCATTTTGATACCAATATACCAATTAAATACCAATTTTTGCAAACTTTGCCGAATTTTTAAAGCTAAACGAGTTGTCGTAGGGCCCTAATATTTTAGTATGAGCTAGAAAACTATGGTATCTACCGTCAAAAAAAAAATCATAAAAATCATCGAAATTTTTTTTTTAAAAAACTTTATTACAAGAAAACGGCCCGGCCGATCTCTACCAAAAACTAATCAGCATGATTCCCGACCAATATCTATCGAATGGTTTTTTAATTTTCAGATTCGATTCAGAATTGCGGGCTAAAACGTGGACGAAAAAATTTTCACTTTTCTGCAATTTACAAAAAAACGGCCTGGCCGATCGCCGCACAAAACTCAGAAACGATAGTCCTCGTCGAGATACATCGAATGGATTTTAAATTTTTGAAATCGGTCCAGCCGTTTTAGAGAAAACGTCGATTTACGGCATAAAATCTGTTCACACGCACACACACACATACTTTTTCCAAATTTGGTCTCATTCGATTCAGAATGGCTTGAAACGTCGAGAAAACATAAAATTAGCGAATCGGATTTTTTTATGAAAACGTAAACTTCTCCTTCGGGAAGTTAAAAAAAAGTTTTTTGACGCCATTTTTCCAATATAGCGGCGACTTGCCGTCAAAATTTGAGGTGACAAAGTTGAAATTCGTAATGAGCACCTCGAAATCTATAAGGTTACCAATTTTCAGAATTCCCGAAGTACTGTACCAGCAATAACCTTTTTGTACCAAATGACTGGGCTATAGGGTATGTGATAGTAATCGCAAAAAAATCAAAACTGTAAAATTTTATATATCTTTAGGTTTCAAAGGTTTCTGAACATTTTGGCATACCTTAAAAAAGTGGATGTATGTGTGTGTGTATTTTCGTCGACGATTTCGAGAACACGGTTCAACCGACTTGAATAATTCAAAAAACATTCGAATCGTATTGATAAGGAGACGTGCTGATTAGTTTTTGGCGAAGGCAGGTCTAGCCGTTCCGAAGATACGGGGCAAAAAGTGTAACTCAGTTTTTAAGAGAACGGAGCGTCCGATTTTAAAATTTCAAAAAACATTTTAATTGTATTAACAAGATAAAATACTGATTAAATTTTTGGGAAGGCAGGTCTAGCGGTTATAGACTTTCGATAAAAATAAGTTAAACAAATGCTTTTTGGCGATGAAAACGGATCATTAGACATATGCATATCAAATTATCAGATATTATATAGATATTTGCATAATATGTACACATTTTCTGTATTTTTTTTTGGGTTCCGTACCAAGATTTTTAATTATGGTACGGGAAGTTGAGCCTTAAAACACAATGCCATGCACCCCACTAATTAAATTTTATTTCAAATTTTGAGCTATTGATTTTAATGCCAATAGCAGCGCCCCACTCCTGAGTGTAGGTCCCTTAACTATCCCTTCTGAACATACAAATCGGGAGAGAGAAACGTGTACTGGAGTACATCTCATTCTCATATTGTTTAGGCTACACATATTATTAGTATTAATTAAGGATTACTACACAATATATTATTTGCTCGAGAACTTGCCCAACACGTCCATTCGGGACAAGGGTTCGACGTAAAATGAGGGACAATCACGTAGTATAGCAAAATATCGATTGTTTCGATAAATGAAATTTTACAATTCAGAATTATATTCTATAACATTTTTACAAGTCTAGTATACAAAATAGAACATATTTATTTTGTTTAATTTGTTTTTCACTTGAAATGTTATTAAAAGGAGAAAGAAGACAGAAATTCTGATTGCAATACAAGAAAACACCAGTTTTGTACACGTTTGCCTAGATAGTATCTACATTAAACATATAAGTAAAAAAACATACATTTATTTAAATTTATATAACAATACAGCAAATTTCAATACGGCAAGAACATATCATACATTATAATGTTCAACTTATAACACATTAACACATTGTAACCATATAAGTTTGACAATAATATTATGGAATTTCTAATCGTTGTTACTAAAACAATATTAGAACTATGAATACTATTTCTGCTAACTTTTATCTACAACATATTATATAATATTTTATTTGAATTTATCTTCATCTTGACTAATTCTTTGTTCATATGCACAAAGTGCTCTATGAACAAGCTCATATTGTTCAGAATTTTGTACCATACCACCACGAGATAGTCTCATTGCACTAACAATTCCCAACACATCGACTTTCTGAGTATCACGCAGTTGTTTTACACCATTTAACACAGCAACCAAGCAACCTGTGCGTCCAATTCCAGCTGAACAGTGAATTATAGGAAAAGGACTAATATTTGAATGTCTTTGTAAACTATCCGTATCAGGAGCACAGCTTCCGTACTTCGAGTCACTACCGATAGCAGGGTTCTTATCGGATATTACTAAATAATCATTATCAAATTCAGAAGAACAGTCATCATCCAGTATATGCAAGCACATATCCAACAATACTTGAACATCATCAGGGCTCTGCAAAATAAAGATTTTTCATTCATAATATATTATAGAGGTTTAGGTATAAGTAGTTAGATTATAAATATTGCTTGAGTAGAATAACATATGATCAAAAACACAAACATGATATACATTGCTCATATAGTTTTTGACGCTACGAGTTGTATTGAGCCTTACCTCCTAGAATCAAATTTTGACCGAAAAATCTAGTTTTGCCATTACTTGATGGAGCAAAAGATAATGTAAGCATTACAGGTAAACGTACACTATTCCGGGATAGTACATTATTGCGGGAGTTTTTCATTTTGATCGCAAAATAAGAAAACGGTCAATAAATAATAATTTTATTCAAGAGCACATCAATTATAATTTGAATCCTAATAAAATAGTACGATTTTCGAATTCAAATATTAGTTTTTAAGCCGTAAAAAGCTTTTGAAAGCATCGGTCGTAACCCGATCGCCATTTCGTACTGGCTTGTTAGCGAGTTAGGTTATGTGACGGTTCCATTGCTTAAGGTTTTTATGTGATTCCGATAAGCTTAATCGATTCAAATGTGTGAAATTTTTGATCAGTAATAATAAGAGATTAGTTTTATAGTTAAATCGAGCATATATTTATCAAGAAATTATCAATTTCATGACTCCCGTAATTAGGTTCACACAACTGAACCAGTGAACCTAATTCCGTGAGTATCCCGCAATTACGAAAAGCAGACTTGAAATAGTTTCATCTTTTATTTTCAACTGTGCTTAAATTCGGCGGTGTTTCTGGTGTTATTAAGTTTGTTAATGACTACAGAATACTGTAACGTAATTACGGTATATGTTTTTTTTAGTTTTTAACCCTAATAATTGAGTTTGAAATGACTACTCTTCAGTAAGAAAGTACATGATTTTTTTCACTCATTTGCATTGTTCCAATATACCTAGAATATTGTAGTAATGAGAGTATCATTTATTTCTACCTTTTCATCTATGATCAATTATTTCTAATATATAAATTGAATAAAAATACAGGTATACCCCATATAGCGCACGGTACTTATAGGGCGCTGGTATGTATGTATGTATGCAGAGATCTAGGGACATTCCTGTTAACACGATAGTTTTAATCCGATTAAGCTTTTGGAATATAACCATTATATAACCTGCATATTATTAAAACAAACATACATCGTAATTTTTTTTTTTTTTTTTTTTTTTTTATTTATTATTTAATAGACAATCAGAAGACAAAGTTTCTATTAGCCTATGTGATAAATTATAACATCGTAAATGATTAAATTAATATGAATTGCAATTACTCGAATAAGATGTCGAGGCTACTCTTAAATGCAGTAACTTTCTAATAGTCTAATACAATTTATTAAATATTATCAAAAATTATATTCAAGATCAATAAATTTATTTGGGTATGATTTCAAATCGGACTTTTAGTTTTTCAAAGAACGATGGCTCCAATATTCACCCAAAACCCTGAAAAAAGGCTTTAAAAGAAATTTGCCATATTATATTAAATGTATTTTAAAGCTTCTAAAACATACAAAATTCCCAATCAAACATAATTTGAGCTAGTAGTTATTGTTAACTTGAAAGTCTTTAAAGATTATTGTAAAGTCTTTAAAGATTTATGTTTGTTGACAGAATTGTAACTTTTATTACAAGTTTAATTTTTTTACTTTGAGTTTAAATTTTATATTTATTTTAAGTTTATATTTTTGTTTAATTGCCGTTAAAAATTATTCCTTTATTGTTTCATTTATTTGATTTACCGAAACAGTATTGATAATGATAATTATACTGCTATTACTATAATAATACCAGCTTTTATTTTATTTTTATTTTAGAAGTTTTTTAACTTCTTATAATTTTATGACTTTTATAAAACTAAATAAATGTTTAAAATCATATCAAAGTATTATTTCATAATTAACAGCACTTTTTATAACCCTTTTTTATAACTATATTTATCAAGGCAATACGATCAAAAATGTAAGCATCGTGCGCTATCACGGAATAACGTACAACGACTCCCGGCATTATATTCACGAGCCGAATTTTATCACGGAATTAGGGACAAACGCGTGGTTCAGCAAAATGCCGATTATTTCTATAAATGACGTTCTACGACGAAAAATCTTGTTTTATAATAATCTTAAAAGTCTAATTAATAAAATATAACAGATTTAGTTCGTCCACTTTCCTATTTTCTCTAAAATTCGTCTTTAAAGTCAAACGTTCCTTAACATCCCGTAATATGGTACGTTTACCTTAATTCAATCAATTCAGAGCTCCGTCTAAACATAAAATACAGACGTTCTACTTTGCATTTTCCAATTGACTCTGGGTCAGCCCTTTCCATTCTTACAGCAAATAAGTTTGCCGGTAATGAAGAAAATAGCTAGAACTTCTCGTATCGTAATTAAATATTCGAGTTAACCAAACAATCAATAATCAATAATAATAATTAATAAAATAATCAATAATAATAAAATTTTTGATTAATAATTAAAACTATAAATATTTTTAAATAGATTATTATAACCGTACATAGTTAATTTTATCACTCATGTTTGATATCGCAACGTACTTATTGCTAAAACACTTAAGTATGTTAGTAAGAGATGTGACTACATATTATATCACTTATAACTTAGAAACTCTCGGTCGAGCTCTTGTCGAGTGAAGGCCTATCGTTTATTATATACTGTGAAGTATTATTTTTCTAAAAAAGTAATACAGCAGACATTTAATTTAAATTTTTTTGTTTCTAATACTCCCTTCTGTAGGGAGTAAATCTTTAATTCCGCCATTGGTTCGAACCAATCAAATACTATGTGACGAATCAACTACGAATTCAGTTTTTGTTCAAAATAATTGGAACAACATTATTAGGTGCAATGCGTCAGCAATTATCGACTTAACAGTTCAATCAACTTCGTTTATGAACGCAATTCAATCAACATCGGCAATGGACTCAACTCCATCCACATCGGCTATGGACTTCTCTTCTACATTAGACTCCAACCCTAATCCCTGGCAGGAAGTTCATCATGGCTTTAAAAGAAGAAGAAGAACGGGCAAAATTATTAATAAGAATATCAAAACAACAAATAGATTTAGCGCCTTGAATACTAATGGAACATCTATAAATCAGAATGACAATTTCTTTAACATTCGAATAAGAAAAGACAACAAAAGACACAAAATTTCAATTTTAATTTCCATCCAGTTTTCGTCAGAAACAATGGCGGATAACAGTGTCAAAATTAATGTGGTACATAGCGACTTTTATAGAAAATTAATACACTACTTACGTGAAACTAGGGTAGTCTTTCATACATATCAGATAAAATCAGAACGAGCGTACAGAGTCGTACTGAAGTATATTCATTATACTACCAATATCGCAGATATCAAGTCCGAAATTGAAAAAAATGGACACATAGTACAAAAAAAATGTTATTCACCAAAAGAGCAAAGAACCACTCAATATGTTTTATTTGGACTTAGAGCCATCTAACAACAATTCAGCAATATGCAAGGTAAACAAAATATTCAATCAAATTATACATTTTGAGAATCCATTAAAGCTTTCCAAAATTATACAATGTGCAAGATGTTAAATGTATGAATACTCCAAGTCGTATTGTAACCGGCCTGTTGTTGTCTAAGATGGGTGAACCCCATATATATAAACTCTGCACTAAAACTCAAGAAGCTCCGGGTACGGGCTATTTTTGTGGGGACCCCATAACACCAATTACTATAAATGTGAATACTATCAAAGTCTTGTTAATAAAAACAATAAATTTTATACCGTAACTGAATTTAATTCTAATCCCAGTTCAGCTCTGCACAAGCATGAACGTAGCTTATCTCAGGTAAACAAACCTTCTTTTTCTCAACATTTGAGCTATTCACAGGCGGTTAGTCAAGAACAATCTATGAATCATAACGAAGACAGTAATCAAGGCAATTATTGTTAAGCCTAACATCTCACATTATCCGATGACAAATTTTAGTGAAATCTACATTCAAGCTACTTTAATAAAAGTAAAAAAAAATTTCTTATGATCTAACAATATATGCAGTTTACTGCCCACCAAGACATAGCATTCGAAACGAACAGTTCCAAACATTTTTTGAAACTCTTGGACCTGAATGTTTTATCGGTGGTGACTTCAATTGCAAACATTTTTATTGGGGCTCTCGACTGGTGAATTATGAAGGCAAAGTATCAAACAATATCATCCAACAGAATAATTTTAATGTAGTTTCTACAGGTTCACCTACTTACTGGCCTAGCGATCCAGCACGTATACCAGATCTATTAAACTTCTTTATTTTTTCCGGAATTAGTGAAACATACGTTGAAGTCGGGCCTAACTATGACTTAGCTTTAGATCACTCTCCAGTACTAGCTTCGATAAATTCTACCTATATATCTAAAACTGAATTTCCTGTGTTACACAACAATAGTACCAACTGGAACTTATTTCGGCATAGTATAAATGATAAAATTAATTTAAACACTAGACTTAAATCTCCTACTGACATAGAGAAAGCTTTGAATAATCTAGTAGAAACTTTACAACACTCAGCTAAATTATCTACCCCTGATCACATTAAAACCTGAAAAGTATCTTCAACTACCTTGGAAATAAGAAGATTAAATTATGAGAAATGCGTGGCTAGAACGGTATGGCAAAAATTACATTTTTCAGATAAGAGAACATATAATAGTATAAGCAATACTCTAAAACAAAAAAATAGAGAATGTAATAAAGGTAATTTTAATAACTTCGTAAAAAATCTTAACAGATTCGACAATTCAGTCTGGAGGCCATACAAGAAAAAACCGACAGTTTCAAACTTACCTAATAATAATGATAAATCACGGGCAAGAAGTGAATATAAAAAAGCCGACCATTTCTCAAATTATTTGTGCTCTGTTTTTTCGCCTAACATATCTAATCCTAATATTCCTTTGCAATAGTCCGCAGATGAATC